CTTTCCTCTTTAAATTTTCACTGCATTTTCACTTTAAATTTTTACTTTTTCGCTTTCCCAGAAGCAAGGGTTATTTACAGCAGGCAGGGAGCCACTGTCTGTCACAAACACATTTGCTTTCCCCCTGCTGGTCCAGCTTGCTATTCTAAGTGGGACCACAGCACAGATCAGCCCTTTTGGATCCCATGGATAATGAAATAGAAGCTTTCAAATTTTTATTAATCATTCAGTCCTTCTCAAAGAGAACTTGTAAACAGGAACAAGAATTCCAGTCACAGCAGCTCGAACAGAGTCTTTACAGCTACACAGCAAGTCACAGTACCTCCTGCAAAAAGAGAAAACTGCTGTGTCTGGTAACTTATCTGCTTATTGGCTCTCTCCTTCTATATTACACACATACAATCCTTCATAGGCTAATAATTTTTACAAGCTTAGATATAAATCAAGCAAAGTTCCATCTGTAATATTCCTCTGACTCTACTCTCTAAGCCTTGAGGACTCCACATGATTTCTGCTACCAACCTATTGAGGCCCTGAATGATGGAGGACCTTAATTTTACACTATGTGTGGCACACTGAGTGCTAAAGACAGCCTACAGTGCTGGTGGTGTGACAGTGGCAGGCTGAGGAGATAGGTTTTCAAAAGTGAAATCCAAAATTTTGAAGGCAAAGTGGAAAGCCAGTAGAGGTTTTTTTTAATTATTTTTAGCTCTTTAAACAATTCCATCTTATTTGCAGTATTCTCATTCTGACCAAATATCCATTATCCAATATAATCTTTAAAAAAATGCAATTCAGCAGTTGAGATCCTCAATTCAGGATCTCATTTTAATAAAATTGTACACTAAAAGATCAGGTTACTAGATGGGAAAGTGACAGCAAAACATATAAAAATCTCCCATATTTTCTGTCTAGAAATACCAGTGGTGCCTTTGTGAGCTCACTGCAGAGACTTCAAAGGGCAAACTCATTTGAATAAACAGCACTCTGCATCCCACTATGGCCAAGAGCCTCTCTCTAAAGACAGTGACCTTTATTAGCACAAACAGAAGAGAAGAAAACTGCAGACCATCCTTCAGGTGATGCAGATTTTATGGTACAACACTAACACTGCTGTGGTTTCATCCCATTGTTGTGGTCTTAGAGTCTTGGTACCTCCTCCCTTAAGCCCTAGATGTGTTCTTCGCTTAACCCAGCCACACCAGCACTGCCACTAAATCAGATGAGATGAATCACTGGCCTCTAACTATTGAGTTTCAAGAATCAATTTAAAATCTGAGTAAGGCCAGAACTGCAACTCAAATTATCTCACTTTAAAAGCCCAACTAAGCTGAAAATGGCATCTATAATTGTGGCAGAAAAGGATCCACTGAATAACTGAACTGTTTCCACACAAGGAGGCAGAACTATGAAATAAAAATATTAGACTTTTAAAGTTTACACAACTGCAGTATTACAAAATATGCGTACAAAACACAGCCTTTTATTAAATAATCTCATAGCCTCAAAGTTTCAATATGCAACATCACCACACGCTCATATAGAAAAAAAAATCTCACACCAATCAATTTTTTTTAATTGCCCTTATCTTGATTCCTGCAGAAATAAGAAAAATAGAAATAAACAAATTTGCAGGTTTACAGCATTCTTTTTGTCAAGAAGCTGGGCTTCTTGTCAACAGCTTGGGCTGTTGTGCACTGGGGCCAGCACTCCAGCTTTGAAAGGAATGAGCTTTTTAACTTTTCTGCAGCCAGACAGAATGAAGTGTCCAGAAAAATCCACTTAGGACCTATGTTCTTTATGCTGGCTTTGGACAGGACTATGAATTATTTTTTTAATTGCATACGAAGTCAAAACTGATTAATTTTTTCCTCTGAGAAAATGCCAGCATGACAACCATTTGGACAAAAGAAACACTCTAGAATAAATACCAAGTTGCTGAAGTCTATAGCAAAAAAAATCACCTCACTGCATTCTAAAATGTTAGAACAATCTATTCTTACTCTCTCTCAGGCTTCAGATGAAAAGAAAGCTGTTTAAGAGGCATTCTTCCCTTTTCATTGAGGTTGAAAAGACGATACTGGTTGAAAACTTGATTATAACCTCCTAGGTTCAAATTCACTTAATTAGATCTGAATGCAACTGAGAAAAATAAGCATGATGTCTTAAGAATAGAGATATTAATCCCCACTATTATTTACTGTGAGGAAAAACATGGGTGTCAGCATCATTCCCTAATTTTTTCAGAAATCCAGCCAAGGTACTTCATGCTGAGATATCTTTTTCGTAAAGGTGTAAAAGCTTTCTTTTCACTGTCATCTGTGTCACTGTGGGAATAAAATAAGCTATTTTCATGCCACTTACATTTTAAAATTGCAAGGTAAAAGAATATTGGCAAGCATAGTAAAAACTTATGACATCATGAACAGACCACAATGTTAATTTACAACAGGTTGACATTCTGCAGAATTACTTGAAGCCACTTTACAAAGAATGGCAACCCTTTACTTTTAGCACATATTAATTGTGTAAATGAAGGTAAGGGCATGCAGGGGCAGTGATCACCCATCTGTACAAGCTGTTAGCATTAACTGCAATCCATGAGATGCCATTTGCCAACAAAGTCAGTGGATTTTGGCACTATTTTTCATTATCTAAAAGTCTGAAGAACAAACAATTCAGAAACTTTTTTCCCCCCCCAGCAATTCTAGTTTTAAATGAGGCAGAAAGTTCTATCCCAGTCTGAAGAATCAGTTGTGTACCACATTCTGCTGCTGTGAACTGCTCCCCACCCAACTCTCCCCAGCAGCTGTTGAAGTCTATTTGGCCACCATGAAGTTTAGCCCGTTCTAGCAAATCCCCACAAAGATTTGATACTTCACTGCAGGTGTTCTCCTTCACAGCAGTTTTTACTCCTTAACTCCTCGCTAAAAGGCAAAGCAGCATGACACATTCCAGAAGTGAAGCACCTCCACAACATTAAATGTGGCTACCTTCACTGTGGGAAACTGCTGTCAGCACAGGCAAGGCCATGGCTAACATAAGGATAAGATGCTGTTTCCTGTGATATGGAATGTGAAGGTAATGCTCATGCATCCAGAACCCAAAACCACCAAGGGCTCAGAAAAAGCTGTTTGTTCATGTGAGTATCATGTAGCAATCCACAACTCTCAGAATGAACCAAAGACACAGCCCTAGGGAAGAAGGTACAGGAAAATGGAAACATGTAAAAACATCATCCTCTGCTATTAGCAACCACTGTGCCACAACCACTTCCAGCAGAAGGTGATGAGCATCAAGGTGCTCTGAAATGTGGAATAATGGAAAATTGGGAATAATGAAAATTGGGAAGAAGTGCAGCCAACAAACCCAGCTTTACTGTCAGATGTCAGCGGCCCTAAGGGCCTCATGTCAGTAAGCAAAGTTGATAAAAAAAGCAGCCAGCTGTCCTGTATTTTTTTTAATCCTCAAAATGGGCAGAAAAGTGATGTGCACATGTGGCATGTCTCATTAATACTTATCATATGTGTATTCATGCATCACACAGACTACAAACAGATCTAACTCTGCCATATGCCTGTCCCTCTTCTCATTTCAACATTTATCATTATCTTTAAAAACTGTGCTCTAAGAACACTATGTAAGAAACGGGTTATCATATATGTATTTACCTTAACATCTTTCTTGTAAGCGTCTACTCTTCTCTTATTTACAGGAATTTCTCTTACTTACATTAACTGAGTGTCTTTGGGTTTTGCCTACTTTGCCATGACAAGAAGATGACTGTGAAAATCAGGAAAGAAAAATCTTGTCTTTTGCCAAAGACAAATTGTTCTGAAGATGCAAGAACCACAGATAAATCTTAGCCTAGTTTGAACATTATAGACTCAGACAGCCTTAGAAACACAGAAAAGAGGAAGAGCTAAGAAAAAGTGAGAATGTAAGAAAAAAAAACAAAAATGAACTGTATATAACCCCAGACATACTAAAAAGTGACAAGTATAAATTATTCAAAATGAAATTATGAAACTTTCATTTTATTTAGAATAAAACATTCATTTCTGTGCAGCTACTCAGCAACAGAACACAGGATTGCTCAGTCTTAAAAATGTAATTATTTTAAAACACTGGCAATTGTTCCAGAGGAAGCAGGAGAAACTATATTGAGAAAACTTTATTTTGTAAGAAAGTCATAGTTTTTGATTGACATGCAAAAAAAAAAAAAAAAAAGAAAAAAAGAAAAGCATATGAACTCTTCAGAATATCAAAATGCCCATGAGAACAGCTTCCTGCAAAACTACTTCATGTGCCAGAGAAATTCTCTGGTCCTTCCAAACTTTGTGTTACTTGTGGAGAGTGTCAGAATGAGCTCTTATTTGGGAAAAGTGGACAACAGGAGTTTTATTTGGGGTTTTTTTTAAGCAGAAAACCCTTGTGCAAGGAAAGGATATTCCATATATTTACCAAAATCTGCTTGATTATTTATTAAGCCCCACAAGAAGGTTTCACTGGAATACAAGACTATTCAAAAAGAAGCACTCCTTGCTTCCTTAACACCTACCTCATTTCCAAAACTCTAAGGACTAAAGGGAAAATTTCTCTGAAATTTCTTTGCTCATATCAGTATGGACAAGCTTGTGACAATACCGATTCTAGGATCAGAAGAATGCACAGAAGTTTAAACTGCTGAGCTCCTCAACACTCACAAGAACTGCTACATTCAAGACTGTAATTTCTTTACCATCATAGGTTTTTTTGAAGCTGACTTGCAATTAAATGGAACCCAATCCACAAAGCAGTTATGTGAACATGTATATCCTTCATCCATACTATTGCCGTTCTTTTTCCTCAAACTCCCAGTGCACCCTGACATACTTGTGGGTTCCACACACAACATATGGTTACTCTGAAAGACTTGCAAAAAAATAAGCACGAGTTTTGGAGGATTTTTTTTCTTCTTCTTCTCTTTTTCTTTCCCTCTCCTTCCATCTCCAAAATACCTGATGTGGTCACTTCATGGGAAAGCCTGCCTAGCAAGAGACAGCACTCCATAGCTCTCCGGAACCACACTTTTATAAACAGGAAAGCTTGGCTGTCCACAGGGGCAAAACACACAAGAACTGGCTGTGCACACGAACACACAGAAGGATGAGAAAATAAAACAACAGTGAACAAATATAAAAGAGATGCAGTGCTCATACCCTGGTAAGGTCCATGCCAAGTTTGAGCTGAGAGATGAGATGGAGAATTACACTGCGTTGATCATCCATGACTCCTAAATCCTCCTCTTCATTATCTTCAGTATCTGTCATTTCATCTTCAACTAGGATCAACTCAGAAGCTGAATGCTGAAATGAAAAGAAACGTCAGCATCTGAACAAAAAGATACAGAATGGCTATTTTCTCCCCACTATATATGTTTAAAAATGGAGCTGTCTTGATAGAACTGAAGACAGCCTCTGTTAAAGCCAAGAAAAGATACAAACTCAAAATAAATAAAAAATCCAGTGATGGGTTCATAAAGCATTTTGATCCTTTCCTCAGAATGAGAGTACTAAGTATGGGATGCTAATTTACACATTCTCTTCTCATATTTATACTGCAGTCATCTCAGATAAAACTCATAGCACATGTAAGTAACAAGCCATCTTTTCATTAAATAGAAATATGCAGTTGAAAATGAGTCTTCAAGCTTGCTTCATAAATCTCCCCAGCAAATATTCATTTCATACATAGATGCTGCATGACCCGATTTCACAGGTTTTCTCCTTTCTCTATCCAATTTCAAAGTTAGAGATCTAAGAAAGTAAAGATATTAACTAAAGAAGATAAAAAGACAACTATAATTAAAGAACACACCTCTGAAAAAAACCCCAAAGACATTAGATTTTGGGAAGCAGAGCAGTGCCATAACTCTTTATAACTATTGCAACACTTCATCACCTTACAGCACAACGCCCGTGCTGCTGAGTTTCCAAAAATACAAGCTGAATATCAATAGACAGGCACCATGCCAGTCCCTTCAAGAGGAACTTTACAGCAGAAGGGATAATGACTTGTGATATTTTATTTTTCCTCAGGGTTTACAATGCATAACTAACAATAATCCAAACAGGTGGTAGTTACTTTGTTCAAGCCACTGAAACCACTCTGCAAGCCTTCCAGATATGTATTCAAGTAAGCTTTTTGTACTTCAAGGGGAAAAAAACTGGGTTATGTAGATGAAAAATTACAGCCCAGCATGTCATTATTGCCCAAAGATTCCATGCTGTAAATGAGACAACACTCCCTGTAAAAGTTAGCATTCTTTCATGCTAAATTGCATTTCTGCAGGAACAGCTAGCTCATTACATAAAACAAGAAATTTTTCATCTCAGTGTGGAAGCCTACGCAACTGAAAAGTTTTACTAAAACCAGTTAATATCCAGAATCAGGTTTCAAAGGAATATTTCTGAATGATCACATTAGAGACCCCTGAGGTGAACTGCAGCTTGTGTAAGGGGAGTTTCTTTGAAATTAAGTTACTATGGAGGTTTCCAAGATTTGAACAAAGTACTTTTTTTAATTACTTAAATGTTTAGGTAGCTATTCCTAAAATAAAAGCTATTTGGTGAAGCCCAATGACATCTGCAAGACACTTCACAGTTGCTTTATTTAGAAAGTAGAATATGTAGATTACATAAAACAGAATCTGGTGAGCTGTAACCTCAACAGCTTGGAGCTTTTCAAAAGGACAAAACCACACTTTCTTCTTCCCACTCCCTCAGAAAATAAAAGGAGAGAAGATAAGCCCTTTTCTCCCAAAATGCACAGCATTATTACCCAACTGATGCCTCACTGACAAGTTCAATTAACATAAAACCTGACAACATCACACAAAATTATCAGTCGGGGAGGGATAAAGCACTGAAGCCTGGCAAAGTCATACAGACTATGATTTATTTGGAGGTAGCAGGGAAAAAGCAGTATCAGAACTTACAGGAGATGCTTCCACAGGAGGCTTCCCTTTGATCCAGCTTGACCTCATTGAGAGCACTGAGCTACCGAATAGGCTCTGCTGCTTCAGTTACTGCCATGAACCGAGCTTGCGGCAAACAAGCTCCAGCAGGAATTAACAGCGCTACAAAAAAAGCAAGGGAACCTCCCCTCCTCACTCCCACCCCCTCTTTTTTTTTTTAATTTTTTTTTTTTTTTTTTTTTTGCTATCTGGGGGGTTGGAGAGTGTGCACCGGATGGCAATCTGCTCCCTGCGTTTCCAGTCACATGGCATTGAGATCAGTGAGCTTAAATGCACGCAGCTCCAACTGGGAAACGGTGCTGCTGTTCCCAGAGGATATCCTGATCCACGGCTCTCCAGGAGGGAGGGGAAGGGGCACAGATTTGTGTGAGTGTGCACAAGTGTGAGAGAAAAAGAGGACAGAAAGAGAACATGCTAGCAGGTAACATCCTTCTACGTGAACATAAAACAGCTGCGTAGCCTTAAGTAGCTAACAGCATCAGAAAACAAACAAATTACCCACTGCCAGTCTGCAGACTAAATTACATACTAAGAATTTTCTTTTTCTCCCAAAGATTGCACGTTTACCCAGGGCAAGAAAATCCTTGTTTCCTTCTTTCTTGATGAAATAGGTGTTAGGCTTTCCTTGCCTCTTAACTGTTACTAACAAAATAGCAAGCAACTCAGAATATTCAGTAAAATTACCCCTGTCTGCTACCCTGCCAAACATCCACGGTCAGAGCAAGCCACCCTACAGACACTTGGGGTGCTCACTAAAGTAGCATTTGCACTGTTCTAAATGAAAGCCTTTCTGATCATCAGGGACGATGAGCACAACGTAACATTAAGATCAATCGTGTTTAATGAGCACACTGTAAAGACTAAAATTTTAATTACCTTCACTATTCCTATTCTAAGGACTTGTGTAATGTCACCAAAAAAAACACAACTCTGCTATTACAGTCATCAACACACTAGTGACCTTCAGTGAATGACATGCAGACAACTGCTTTTTTCTCACTTTTCAAGGAAAAGAATTTAAGGAAGCAGTTTACAATTCATGCTACAGGAACTGAAGAGCAGTCATCTTCAGAAAGCAATATCCTTTCTATATTTCCCTCTCTCCTCATTAGCTGTTCTACGTAACTATTAAATAGATTTCTAGGAGCGCATAAAACAACTTTAACTAATACATTTTCTTAAACCAACATGTAAGCACCACACAGTGTGAGTGGACACATGCAGTCACAAGATACAAAGCTAGTGTATCTTTAAAGTGTCATAAAAGTTCAACCATTCTTTAATTCTTTTTCTATCCATGAAAATAGCGTGCAGTTTAGTAGTATCCAATGCGTAAGCATTCAGCCAGAATGCAAAGGATTATGTGGGCTGATTATCCTTTAACGGCAGCTTTTCTGAATTATCAGACACAGACTTTTTTTTTACCTTGTCCCGTAAAACGTAACTGCACAACTGACCTAGGAAAGCAGTCATCTGCTCCACCCCTGTGTGGTCAGGGCACAAAGTAAAAGCTATTGAGCTGTGCACTGCCCAGCTGGGGAACGAACAGCACAGCCTGGCTTAGGTGCTGACCCTGAGAAATCCAATACTGAACCAGTTACAAACAACCACAAAAAAAAAGGGGCTTAATATTTAAAATCATTTCTATCAAAATCGGTTTCCAATACTGGGCTGAAGCACCAGCATTTTTCAGAAAAATCTGAAGAGAAAATAAAAGATAATTTATAAAAATCCCAGGAAGAGATGCATTTCAAAGTTTAAATGCCAAAGACATGAAAATACACACCGGCAGAGAGCTATTTTAAACAGGTCACCTCATTAGAGCTGAGATCGATTAATTTAGAGAGGTCATCTGCGGGGACACAAAATGGATGTTCTAGTCAGCAGTCTCCATCAGAAAACATGCTGATTCTTTTTTAACAGATGAAATCTGTAAGGGTAAGAAATTGTTTCTGAAGGAAACATTCTGCATTTTTTAAAAATGGAAAAACACGGTGTGTTGTTTTTTGGTTTTGTTTTTTTTTTAGGAAAAACACACTGACAAGCCTGGGATAAAATCACAGAGTCAAAAGTTATACTTCTGTGAAAGGGCAAATGTGCCTCCATCCTTCTACAGCTTCTTCCACAAGTTAATTTTTCAAATTAACTGTCAGGTAATTAATACAGACATACAGCTCGGAGCTTCATTTTCCAACATACTCCACAAACCATACAATGCAACAATACATTCAAGAATGACCTGGGTCTCATCTTGGTTAGTTTTCTGAGGGGAAGAAAGGAACACATAGAATCAGAGTCTCATTTAGGTTAGAACAGACTTCTTGGTATCTTCTTATCCCTTACCCTGCTCAAGAACGTGCATGTAGAACCAGTTGCCCAGGACCACGTCCAGCTAAGTTTTGATTATCTCCAAGCATGGAGACTCCACAACTTCTCTGGGCAACCCATGCCAGTGTTCAATGCTCTTCACAACAGAAGTGCAATTTCTGGTGTACAGATCCACTTCCAACTGCCCACTGCCTCTTGTCTTGTCACTGGGCACTATTGAGAAAAATCTGTCTCCCTGCTCTTCACTCCTGTGAGGTATGTATATGTACATTGATAAGATACACTTGAGCCTCCTCTTCTCCAGGCTGGACAGTCCCAGCTCCCTCATGGGAACGATGCTCCAGAACCTTCCTCATCTTTGGGGCCTGTGCTGGACTTAGCCCACTAAGTCCATGCCCCTCTTGCTCTGGGTGAGGCCCACTGCAGATGTGGCCTCACCTCGGCCAAGTAGAGGGGAAGGATCTCAACCTAATGGCAACACTCTTCCTAATGCAGCCCAGGAAGCTACTGGACACAAAAATATTTTGTTGGTTCATGGTCAGCTTGCTGTCCCCCAAGATCTCTGCAGAACTGCTTTCCAATCAGACGGCCTCCAGCCTGTACTGGTGCAAGAGTTTACTCTCAAATATCCTCCAGATAACAGGAACTGGCACTTCCCTGAGCTTATCTTTAAGAGACTTCTTTGTGTCCAGACTGCCAAGGTCCCTCTCTATGGCAGCACAACCCCCTGGCTCATCAGCCACTCCTCCCAGGTTTTTCATCACCTACAAACTTCTCAGGAGTGCACTCTGCATCATCATGCAGGTCATTAATGAAGATGTGGAACAGTGCTGGTCCCAGTATGGACCCCTGAGGTACACCACTAGTGACTGGCCTCCAACTGGACCTTGTACCACTGATTACAACTCTCGGGGCTGGGTTGTTCTGTGAGGATGTTAGGGAAGACAGGGTCAAAAACCTTATCAACATTAAAGCAAACAACATCCACTGCTCTCTCCATAA